GGTTGGCGCAGGATAGAGCAGGGTTTAGGGCTGTTGTGCACAGGGTCGCTATGAGTCGCACACGACTCGACGGCACATAACAACAACAATTAAACCTCCTCAGACTTAAAGGAAGTACCATGTTTCAGTCAAAATTAATCTTGTCCTGATAACACATTCAGAATATTTTACTCCACAGTTCACTCTTACGAATAAAGAAATAATCCTAAAACCTGACAAAATTTATATATATACACATATGTATGAATACATGTGTGTGTATATAAAAAAACGGCATAGTTTTTTAATGTAATAATGAGAAGCTGAACAAAGTTTTCAGCCAGTGCCTGAAGAATAGCAAAAAGCTGTGTAATGTGCAACAATGAATGAATGAAAATCCAAAGACTCTGTGTGTGTGTGTATATTCAAGGCTGAGTGTGGACAAGTTCCTTCAGCACTGCCTGCCTAGCATGCAAAGGTGCGTGGATGAGCAGGGAAGGGACTTGGCCCCATGTGGGGGGTAGTGAGATCAATCTGTCTGTAACACAGGAAGAGGTGTGGACTCCTGAGCTTGTAGCTGATACCCATTTCATCCTAGCCACAGAAAGCTGGGACTGAGGTGACCAGAATCTGACCCGATGAAAAGAAGATGATCCATGCTGTGAGCTCGAGTTGACTGCTACAGCCTAATGATGGCTTGCTCTGTGCTGGGTGCTGCTTATGGAGGCAGATGCTCCAAGTTTCCAAGTTGAACAGAGGATTCTTCATTAAAAGGGGCACGCTTGTTCCCTCAGAGTACTGGTTTAATAAGGATGGGCAAATCAGCAATTAGCAATCCAAAAGGGCATGAGGCATGAAGTAGCTGGCTTACACACGTTCACAAAAGTAGTTGTTAGTAGGATGACTGTTAAAGGAGGAAAAAAGCCCCATCAATGAATGAAATCTAATATAAACGAAGGACTGTATGGAACACAATGTATTTGAATGATAAAAATATTAATAATAAAAAGTGTTCCAAACTCTGAAAAATGCTTAGAAGTAAAAAAAGGCAAGATACAAAATTGCACATAGAATATAATTTCAACTAACAGAATAGCTATGAGAAGATTCATGAATGAGATAAGAGATTGTTCATGTTCATCCTTTTTACCTTTCTCCATTCATCACTAATATTGTTTTTATTAAATTGTATCTTTACTGAGATATAATTCACATACCAAAAAATTCACTAACTTAAGGAGTGTAATTTAGTGTTTCAAAAATTCACAGGAATGTGCAACTGCTTAAATCCCCCTTATAACCAGAAAAAAAAAAGTAAATAAATTAGTCTGTGGCTTACAGGCACTCTCTAAAAAAGACATTGTTTTCATTTATGCAAATAAATACTCTGTGTACTTCACCACAGCGGCAACCACTTTCAAGAAAGCCAACCCAAATGTGCTCACAGTAACTCAGTCAGGATAAATGACAGCCTGCCTGATTCCCTTTGCGAAGGCCAGTCACTCTAGTCAATTCTTAAATGAGGTTCGATGGAAACAGGAACGTACTTACCTTTACAGTGCTTGTGGTCTGGAGTTGGGCTGTAGCCCTGGTGGCATGAACACATGTAAGAGCCTTCAAGGTTTGTGCAAGTACCATTTGTGCAGACTTTTGGTTCCAGGCATTCGTCCACATCTTGAGGAATGTTGCATAATGGAAAGCAAAAAAAAGAAAAGAAAAAAGAAAGAAAACATGAATAACACTGTCTGGTTAGAAATGGAAACAGTGAGCCATCAGGAGATGAGCAGATTCTTCAAAATAAACCTTCAAGTTAACCCTTAAGAGGAAAAGAATCTCTGTTATAAGCTATATGCTTGATGGATCCGTATCTTCATTTACTGTTGGGAGAATTACTCAAAAAAGGAATGAAATATGATCAGTGGATAAATTCAATGAGGGATTAAGACAAGGGCAGAGGAGAGAGGGTAGTTTTAGAATGACATCTACAAAACACAATTTTACAAAAAAAATAAGACAATCATTGAGGCCTACTTGGGAATGGATATATTTGGTAAAAGGGGGAGGGAGTTACAGAAGTAAAAAATATGACTCATGACCCAGAGACATCATGTTGTTGTTGTTGTTATGTGCCATCGAGTC